GCCCTACTAAGTCGTTATCTTCCTCGTGGTCTACTTAGTTCTAGCCATGTCTGTGATATGTTTATGCCAAGTTCAATATGTTTTGTATTTAAGTTTTATTTGATATGAGATTCGTATTACTAGGCATGATAACATGTTTTGTTAACTTGTTTGAGTCATATTACTAAGCTTCTTTAGTCGAAGTATTGAATTCTACTTGTGTTAATTTTCTTTCATTTCGATGTTGGACCAATTTTAAGTAATTGGAAAAGAAAGAATGATCAAATTGGCCATTGAATAGAAGGTTTGGGACTGATAAGATACACTTATTCAAACCTTAAAATATTAATATTTAATAGTTCATTTAAACAGTTACAGCCTAATTTACTGTATATTTCATTTATTATGTGAAACTTGATAAATAGAAGTGGAATTGAAAAAAAAGCGAAAATTAGTGAAAAAGAGCAAGGTCCAAAGTTTGGAAACTAAAGTGTAAAGATTCAAGAATCGTGTCGGGCCACATGATGCAAGCAAAATATTTTCACAAATCAATTTTCAGCTGCACAAGGATGTTTCAAATTTTTAGCTGGATATTGAGATCCATTTTTGGCCTAGTAAATGTTTGAATTAGAAAAGAGCAACCTCTAATAAAATTTTAGCCCTTTAAGTTATCTTTACAATCAATTTGAAACGCCTCAATTGAATATCAGAAGAAAAAGTTATGATAAAAATACTAAAGGAGGTGCAAAATACTAAAGGAGTTGCACTGCTAAATTTTTCCCGAGAGGTGGTACCGCAGCACACTATATGGCACCCAGGCATCACCTAATGCGTCTAGGATGCGAGTTTTTATCCTGTTTAAAATCCATAAAAATTATAAATTCTAGAAAAACGTTAAGAGAAGTATAAATACTGGAATGGAGGCACTTTTGAACGATTCCACACATTGAGAGACATAAAGCACAACTTGGAGAATTAGAGAAAAAAAAAATCAACAGAAAAGAAAAAAAGAAATCAAGAGTTTGGATCAAGATTTAGAATAAGAAGAGGAACTTGATGTAAACTTTATCCACTTTTTTACATCTCAGTGCAAGACTCAATGATATAATCAATACAAATCATTTTTTTCTTCTATTATTATGTGCAACTAAACTCTTTATTATGAGCTACTAAACTCTTTATTAGGGCAAATAATATAATCAATTTGAGATCATTTATTTCTTTTATTCAAGATTCCAGTTCTTTAAAAGTTTATGTGTTGATTTTATTCATGTATTTAATGCTTTAAATTACTTGATCAATAATTCAATAATTTTGTAAATCTTTTATGAATCTAGGGGTGAGTTTTAGATTTAGACCACATAGTAAAATTCAATAATTTACAATAATGTGTACAAATACGTATGTTAATTATTGTAGTCGCTATATAAATGTTTAGAACAAATAGTGCGTTGAACTAAGAATTAAAGGTGATTAATAGATGAAATTGTTCTGCCTAATATCCATTCCGTATTTGAAACATCAATTCGATCTTTGTGCACAATTTTCATTCAGTAGATATAGTTAAAAAAAAATCATCAAAACAATCATAATTCTTTGTTTTCATCAACTAGGAGTTAGAAATATTGATTAAGTATTAAATTATAGTTCTCATGAGAATGACGATCTGAACTCAAATATCCACTATATTACTTGTTACGATATCGTACACTTGCGATATAAATAATGCAACAAATTTTTGACACCGTTGCCGATGACTATTTGCATTTAGTCTTAACTTATTTCATTTTGATTATTATTAAATTATCTTCTTATTTATAGATAAAATGTGTTCGTTGTATGCTCTGTTCCCAAACCGATGATCTAGAATATTTTCATTCCAAAATAGAACATACCTTCAGACGCAAATTCAAAGAACACAACAAAATAGAAGTATGAGATAGCTGACGATCAAAACATTCCGATACAGCCAATTGGACGAGTAGCAACTAGGGTAGCAATAGCAAAAAATCAACAAAATGAACAAGTGAAGCCTATCGCACTGCCCGTGTTCTCCAATATTGTATATTTGGATTTCGAATTGAATAACTTTCAAATAAATGTAGATTAGATCCTATGAAGAGGGAAATCTTTTTGTCATTGTTGTTCGGTCCTACTGTCGTCGAGATTGTAGGAATATTGTGTTTGGAGAGGTAGATAGATAGGACTACTAGTTGCTCGATCAGGACCCTAGCTTTATTGCAAGCCAAAAAGTAGAATGTGTCTTATCATTTTTCTATTCTACGGGTTAGCTCATGAAAACCCAAACACACATATCTTCCACTTCCTCAGAAATTGTCAGAGCTCCAAGAGTTAATAAAGATGCTATCAAACTGTGTTTATTTCCTTATACATTAAAGGATGCAACTTTGGAATGGTTAGATGATGAATCTCATGGAAGCATTATTACATGGGAGGAACTGACTAGAAAATTCTATAACAAATTGTTTTCACACTCAAAAGTAGCAAAAATCCCACTGAAAATTTAAGCATTCCAGTAAAGAGATGAGGAGAGTTATCTTGAGGTATAGAATTGATTCAAAAAGATGATTAGAAAATGCCCAAGTCATAGAATTACCATAGGTAATCAAGTACAATACTTCTATACAAGACTTTCACCACTATTAAAATCTCAGGTGTAATACTCTGCAAGTGGATCAATCATTGGTAAATCAACTTGACAATGCCTAGACTTATTCGAGTTAATTGTCACTACACATTCAATGTCATTGTTAGAGAGAGTGATATCAAAGAAGGCAGTTGAAATTTATGAACTAGACAACAAAGTGTCAACAATGGATAGATTGTTGCTTTAACAAAGTAGGTGGAGTTACTTGTAAAATTGCAAACACATGGAGCAAATGCAATGATGATCAGTTCAGTATGTGAGAATTGTGGGAGTATTGACGCTATGAAAATTGCTTAATGCTTGCTTTTTTATAGAAATAAGTAAACTTTATTCAAAATAGTTTCCACAATTTCAACACATATAGAAATAATTTCCAGCAAGAGAAAGAACAAGTTTGGGCTAGACGGTACATCAATATGTGCAGAAATAGACAAAGTATTCCAACATACTGATGCTAATTTTTAAAATCAGCAAGCATCTATTAAGAAGTTGGAAAACATAGATTGGTCAGACAGTTCAACTACTTGCAGAATGTTCACAAGGATCATTTCTAAGCAATAAAATGACAAATCCTAATAAGCAGGTAATGGCAATAAGAGTAGTGGAAAAAAATCCTCCAAGGACTCTTGTAAAAGTTAAAAGTATTTATACCTCCACTTCCATTCCCTCAAAGACTTCGAAAGAATTCAATAGAGTAAAATATTCATGCTATAACTATAAGGGGGGATTACAATTACCAAAGATTACTATGAAAGAACCAGAAAGAAAAAATGAATAAGAAGAGGTTGATGAAGGTAAAGTGGAAGAGAAATATGTACCACCCTAAACTGAAAAGGAAGAAAGTAAAGAAACATCCACATTTATAGTACCAAGTTCAATCAATGCTTATGTGTCTCCTATTCTTTTTCACAAAGGCATAAGAAAAACATAAAGATACGAACTTTGAAAATTTCAAGTTCTCAAGAAGTTCCACGTCAATATCCCGTTTATTAATGAATGCAATATTACAAATTTCAAGTTATTCAAAGTTTTTGAAGGATATGTTGACAAAGAAAATAAAGTTTCCAGAGTTGAAATTGTAATACTGACATAGAAAAGTAGTACAAGACTACAAAACAAATTACATCCGAAGTTAAAAGATCTAGAGACTTTTACTTTACCAAATTCAATTGGAAATTCTTGTTCTATTAGTGCTTTATGTGATACAGGTTCTAGTATAAATCTGATGTCATATTTTGTTTATAGAAAATTGGGATTGGGTAAAGTCAAATCAACGTTAATAACGCTACAGCTTGCTAATAGAACACTCTACGATCACGAGAAGTAGAGGATGTGCTCATAAAAGTAGGAATTCTAATATTTCTAGTGGATTTCATAGTGCTGGACATAGAAGAAGATAGAGATATTCTAGTTTATTTTGGGCCGATCATTCTTAGCAATGGATCGGACCCTAACTGACATAGATAAGGGTAAGCTAATATTGAGAGTGGATGACAAGCAAGAGATGTTCAATATTTGCACTACATTTGAGTCACCTTCCATTTGATTGCTATAGAATTGATGAAGAAGAAGCCACCTGATCAACAAAGCTGTCAACATTGAAAATCAAATTTTGGTGGACTTCTGAGTAAAATGAGAACGGAGAGTTCAAGATTTTGAGAGTAAAAAGAGGATACAGGGCTAAAAATTGTATGGAGTGCGAGGCCGAAAACTTTCTATTTGAACCACCATAAGGAATCATGTTGTTGAGTGTAGCTAAAGATTTTAAATTAATCGCTTATTGGGAGGCAACTCAATTTCTTACCATTTTATTTATTTTATATTTTGTAGTTGCATTGCATATAGTCTATTAAGGCATATTAGTTTTAGGCATGTTTCTATTTTAATATGATGTTCTTCATATCTATATTAAGCTTACTAAAATAAAATCATATATTGGAGTAGAAAATACATGTGGCACATTTTTCAAGGCTTTAGGGGAATTAAAAAAAAGTATAAAAAAAAGTTATCGTACATGCCATATTATGACTTTTAAACCTTTTTTTTACTCTTATATTTATCTTCTTCTTTCAAAGGTACAGAGATATCGAATGGGGGAAGCTTAACAAGTTGAAGAATGGAATGGCATGATCTAAAAAGCCAATATCAGATAGAAAAATTCGGGGATTATCTTCTTCCTTCCTTTTCTACCCTTTTTGTACTAGATTATACGTTAAGACATTTAGGACAATGTCTACTTTAAATTTGGAGGTAAAAAAAAAAAAAAACATTGAATTTTTAGTTTTACTATTCTTATGGCGATAATTTGGACAAAAACGCGTGAATGGCTTTAAAAATTATGAAAATTACAGAAACACCCCAGAAGGACAAAAGTCGTCTAAAAGCCATTCATTTTTCAACGCTATTGGACAGAACAATTCATCCCCGTTTCTCTATTGGATCGAGCAGAACGCCGAAGAAAAATCGTCTCTGATTGTCGACGGCGAGCATTTGGGTTTTAGGAATCGATAACTTCCAGCTATTGTAAGGGTTTTTCTCCATTATTGTTGTGTTTAGGGTTCGTACGTCTTTAACCCATTTCTCTGTTGGACAGAACAAACCGCCCATTTTCGAGTAGTAGTTAACGGTCGACGGCGAGCACTTGGGACTTCAGATCGACGACTTCCAACTATTGTAAGGGCTTTTCTCCATTATTGTCGTGTTTAGAGTTTCTGCGTGTTTCAGTTTCGAAATTAATGTCGGGACAAAGCTCCGTTTCTGGTTTGTGTTCTGAGTTTGAAATTGTGTCAGCACATTTTTATTCATATTCATTTATCTTTTCATGAAGAGTAGTAACCCCAAAATTTGTGAAGGTAGAATCCAGTAATTTGATAAGTTTGAAATCTAAAATACCCATGGTGTAAAAATTAGCAACACATTTAACATGAAACAAAATTGCTATAACTGGAGATATTTGGCATATAAATTGTAAAACCAAAGTCTTCAGTTGGCTTTATTTTATTTATTTGTCTTAGCCTACCTCAAGTTGATGCATTTCCACCAAATCTAAAGAAGCTGACGATTTCAAGCACCCTACTTGATTGGGATCACTGTCTACTCTAGGAATGTTGGAAAATCTTGAGATCCGTCAGTTGAAAGATGATGCATTTAAGGGAGACCGATGGCAGACAGAGAAGGGAGGATTCCGTAATCTCAAATTCTTGTATATTGGAATACTGATTTTGTATTTTGGGAGACACTTAGTTTTGTTTTTGTAATTGAACTAGGACCGACTGATCTTGTTATTTGGTGCAAGTTGCATCGTGATTAACTGTATTTATGGTTTCTATTAATGAAAAGGCTTTTCATATTACATTTGAACATTCTCCTTCCAGGTTATTATTCAATGTTCAGAATATTGTAATGAATGATATAGCAGTTATATACTTTTAAGAAGATGTTTATGTAACTAGTGAATGATATAGCAGGTTATTCAATGTTCAGAATATCTTAGTGAATGATATAGCAGTTATATACTTGGCGATTTCATGTAACCAACTTGTCTTCGTCATGCAACCAGCTTGTATTGAGTAAATGTGCTGGCTATTGGTTACCTGATTTTGTAATTAGATGCAAGTTGCATCGTTTAATCGCAGACTGTATGTATGGACCAGTAGTATTATTGTGCTAGAATTTCAAGTTATTATCCTAATTCCAGGTTACATCTTTGTGCTACAATTTCAGGTTATTATCCTAATTCCAGGTTATAAAATTGTGCTAGAATTTCGGCCACTAGCATGTGTGATTGTGTGTTTAAGATAATGGCATGTTTTGATTTTGGCTTATTTTCAATTTGAAACTGGTGGTAATCCAATCATTCTTTTTTAAGACACACACCCAATATCAACAAGGAATTGTTTTCTAATTCATCCACGAATTGAATCAAGAATCACTAAGCCAACTTAATCATGTATTACATGATCAAATGATAAAAAATGATACCATTCTTTGATCTTGACTTGAACGTTCAACTTTAACAAAAAAATACCAAGCAAACAATTGATCATCATAAATGAAACAAAATCATTGAACACAAGTTCAATTTTAACAAAATATTACCAAGCCAACTTAATCATCTATTCCGTGCCAACTTATTATGTCCTTCTTACATATAGTAAACAGCATTCTAATGGCAAATAGAGTCTTCCTCTCCGCCTCCATCATTTTCACGATTCCCTTACCACAGTCCGGACATCGCTTCTTATCTGGACAATTGAAAGAAAATGGGAAGAAAGAACAGGGGTATTTGTCGTAGTTGTAGAGATCCTGGGCAGCTGCAGCGGTGATAACAAGAAGTTATTAATCAATTGAAGTCATAACACGACAAAATTTCATGATTAAATACAGCAACATGGAACAAAATAGCACAACATTTAACGAATGGGAAAGTTGGTGTCTCGAACGGGCCAGGAATGTCTAACAACCAAAAGGAAAAACACAGGCAACGGAGAAATCTATAAATAACTACATCTACCATAACGAATGGCCACTTCATTCTGATCAGGAAAATCTAGGGGATACAACTCCGGTAATGTCAATATTTGACAGGCTTACCTCTTATTTGTCCGTGGTAACGGAGAAAACGCAGGAAACAGAGAAATCTATAAATTATTTTATTTGAAACTATAAGAACGTAAAATTATATTACAGGCTTGGGCTAACAATATTTGATAGGTACCTCTTATTTGTCCCTGGTATCTGGTGCTAATATTTGATCAAACAATTTGGGTGCTCCTTAATTTCGTTGTAGTTTTCAATTGTCTTATTCATAAATTTTTTTTTATAAAGGAAATAAGAGAGATGTAAAGAATTTAAATTCTTTAATTTTGCTTCCAATTCAGGTTTGAAGAGCAGAAAATGCAAAATTTCTTAGATCTCAAAACATGCCAATTCCGTCAACTTGAATTTCCTTTTTGAATCTCAATTGTTTCACATGGTCTTTTTAGTTTCTCGCAACAACTACTTAAAAACGAGGGTCAATTTCGAACTCAGAACACAAACCTAAATCGGGACTTTTGTCCCGAACCAAAAAATGAACGACGGAACTCAAAACACAAACTAATAACGGAGCTTTGTCCCGACATTAATTTCGAAACTGAAAGACGCAGAAACCCTAAGCACAAAAAAAATGGAGAAAAGCCCTTACAATAGTTGGAAGTCGTCGATCTGAAGTCCCAAGTGCTCCCCGTCGACCGTTAACAACTACTCGAAAATGGGCGATTTGTTCTGTCCAACAGAGAAATGGGTTAAAGACGTACGAACCCTAAACACAACAATAATGGAGAAAAACCCTTACAATAGCTGGAAGTCATTGATCCCTAAAACCCAAGTGCTCGCCGTCGACGGTCAGAGACGATTTTTCTTCGGCGTTCTTTTCGGTCCAAGAGAGAAAGGGGGATGAATTGTTCTGTCCAATAGCGTTGCAAAATGAATGGGTTTTAGACGACTTTTGTCCTCCAGGGGTGTTTTTGTCATTCTCATAATTTTTAAAGCCATTCACGCGTTATTGTCCAAATTATCGCCAGCTCAGCAATTAGGTATGCCCTTCGGTAGCTACTGATGTACCAGTAGCATTATTGATTAAAAAAATTGAAAATTTTGATTTTTTTTTTTTAATTTCAAAAAGATTTCATTGTTTATTGTGTACTTGTGTGGGTCAGGTAAACTTGTCGACGAATATATTTGGAATCATTTGTTAACCTATGAACTGTGGATAGGTTACATATTTAAATTGATTGATTCTTATCCATGTAAAGCTTGATACTATTTTATTTGCACAAATCAATTAAATTTAGCATTATAAAGTAATTGGTTGATTCATATGCTTGATAAGTTAAAATAATAGAACTTAGATGCTAAATCCAAAAATTAGAACGATTTATAACCTTCGACCAAATTTGGAATAGTTTGTGGGTGATTTTACTGTTGTGGGAGATATGGATATAAATGGAAATTCCATGTATGTAAATTCTTGTCTAGATTGTATAGGGGTGATATGATGAAAATTAGGTGAAAATCTTATATTAGAGGTCAATTTTTTAGAATAGATGTTTAATGAGGACATTGCACTAATTATGACAAAAAGGGAGAAAAAAGGGGAAAAAAGAGAGAGAAAAAACTTCCTCATTGTAAAATGTCTCATCGTAACCTTTATGACTCAAATGATTAAATTCATATGGGTATCTAAAAACCTAATGCCCTATAATTATCTAACTTTAGAGTTATCAACCTAAAACTTACTACAATAGTCATTTAAAAAGTTTAATAGAGAGACATATGCACATAAGATTAAAAAAAATAAAAAAAAATTATGTATTTACATTTTACTTGCCTTGATTAAGTCCCAAACTTATTTGAGAAGATTAGATATTTGATAATGGATTATTAGCCTAGTTGATTATTGGAAGTTGAAGCAATCAAAATTTGGAGAATCCTTATTTATTGAAGTATTGACTTACAATTAGTCAATTTGTCTAAACTAGAGAGGGTGTGAAATTAGTATAAAGATTCAGCCGTAGATCACATATTGAGAAAAGAGTTAAAAAGAATAGGTTAGCGGTGTGTGAATTTTACGAGTGATGAAAGTAAAAAATTTGACCATTGAGGGGTTGGGAATTGAAACAACTCGTAAATTTATAGGATTCTTCATACACTCACACATTAGTTTTGCATTGAAAAAATTGATATTGATTTTGGTAATACGACCTTGAAAATGTTTATAGATTTAATACAATTATTCCAATCCTGAAATAAAACGGCGATTCATCTAACCAAAACTTTTGCATGTTTGTGTTAAGCTAAATTATGGTTTTTCAGAACAAAAAAACGTTTAAGTTTTGGGATGTTTGATAAATATATTTTATACACTTATTTGGATATAAAATATAGGTATTTAATAGTTCTTTTAAACAACTATAGCCTCATTAATAGTATATTTCGTTTGTTAGGTGAAACTCTATGAATGAAAGTGGAATTGAAAGAAAAAAACGAAAATTTGGTGGAAAAAACAAGATCCAAAGTTTGGAAACTAAAGTGTAAATATTCAAAAGTTGTGTAGGACCTCATGATGAAGATTCGAGAATACTAAGGGTCAATTGGATGCAATTAGAAGATAAAATGAGTGAAATATGACCAAAATATTTTCACAAATCAATTTTTAACATACAAGAATGTTCTAGATTTTTATCCGGAGATTGAAACTTATTTTTGGCCTAGTAAACGTTTAAATTAGAAAAGAGCTATTGCTAGTAAAATTGTAACTCTTTGAATTATCTTTACAACTAAATTTGAATTGCCTCAACCCGGATTATCAAGAGAGAAAGTTATAATAAAAAAATTAAATAAGTATAGTGCTAAAATCTTTCCTAAGAAGAGCCACCCACAATGTCTTCGTGGTGTCGCTGGGCATGGCCTGATACATCTAGGGCATGAATTTTGGGCCCATTTAAAGTCCATAAAATCTTCAAATTTGGGAATACTTTAAGGGAAGTATAAATACAAGAATAAAGGCACTTTTGAAGAGTTCCACACATTGAGAGCCAAAAATCACAACTTGGAGAATTAGATAGCAAAATTAAAGGAGAAAAACAAGAAATCAAGGTTTGGAATTTTAAAAATAAAAAAAAGGAACTTGGTGCAAGATTCGTCTACTTTTTTACATCTCAATTCAAAACCCGATGATGTACACAATACAGTTTTTTTCCTTCTATTATTATGAATATCTAAACTCTTTATTAAGGTTAATAATGTAATCTATTCAAGATCCTTTATTTCGTTTATTCAAATTCTAGTTCTTTAAAAATTTATGTGTTGATTTTATTCATGTATTTAATGTTTTGAGTTACTTGATTAACAATTCAATGATTTTGTCAAAACTTTTACAATTTGAGAGATGATTTTAGATTTAGATCACGTAATAAAATTCAATAATTTAGTATAATATGTAGAGACACATTTGCTAATTATTGCGGTCTTTATATGAATTCTTAGAACAAATAGTGTATTTAACTAAGATTGATTTACATAGAGATATATAACTTAATTAGTTAAATAAGGTCAATGAGAACTAGATAGAAGAATTCGTTCTAATGCTACATAGATTTGTGAATTTTGAATTAAGAATTAAATGTGATCAATAGATGAAATTGTTTAGCACTAATATTCATTCCATATTTGAAGCATCAATTCGATCTTTGTGTGCAATTTTGATACTTTGACTTAGTAGATATAGTTAGAAAAACAATCAAAATCCTTTGTTTTCATCAATAGGAGTTAGAAATATAAAATTATTTATAAAAGTATAATTATTGTGAGAACGATAACTCAAAGGTTCACTATATTACTCGTTACGATATGTATAAAGAAGGCAATTAATTGGAAAAAGTAAAACTTTGGAGAGAAATATTATATTAAGTGCCTTTGGATCAAATTAACAAAGGAAGGAAATTAAATGGGCCTATTGCATAATTGGAATGGAATGAAATCTCTATAAAGACTCCCGTTGAGAAGCAAAGGAGGGGGTTGAATTTGAAAGGAGTTTGGATTCCTTTCTTGGGGGTTGAATTTGAAAGGAGTTTGGATTCCTTTCTTGGACTCCTAATTGGCAAAAAATTGGTGGATTTTGGGGGTTAAAAAAAGAATATGTACGCATATATTCTTTTTTTATTTTAATATTATTTTAAATTTTTAAATCAATCTAAAAATTATTTAATAATTAAATCGAATGGATCATATTTAAAAATATATTTAATTTTACTCGAAAGAAATTGTTAAACAATTTAGGATTATTGATCTTCATAATTGAATCGTGTTATCAAACTATAAGATTTAGGATTAAAAAGGATTGATACAAAGGAATTTGGGATCCCAGTACGTTTTTTATTATTAAATTTTCATCAAACTTCCATTCATTATAATTTTGCATTGATTTTAGTTAATTTAGGTATTGCATTCATAAGTAGAATATTTTATTATAATTTAGTTTTAGAAAAATTACAAATTTTCATAGGTTCAGTTAAGGCTAAATTAATTCGAATTTGAAATATTACAATCTCTATGGTTATGATACTTGGCCCCCGTTTGTTTATCATTTTTTGAAAAATGAGAATGAAAAATATAGTCGTTACGAGCCCCACACAAGATATATAAATTCAAATTTGGTGACTTAATATGATAGATAACGGTCATATTTTTCATTTTAATGAGAAAAGAATGAGAACCCAACAGGGGACAATCTCAAAATCTATTTTACTCGAATCGTGCAATAACTTTAATCGAACAAATATTTGCGTGAGATCAGCTACTGATTAGCATGGAAAAGCAATATTGCAAGCCTAATTGGGGTAGGATAATTATTATATAACTAATTTCTAATTAACATGTGAGTGTCTTATCGTTTCACCTTTTGAGTACATATTTAAGAAAAAAGTGTGTACCACAACAAAATGAAAGGTCGTAAAATGTCATACGTGTTCTGATAATAACTTCTTTTATTATTCTGTTTTCTTTTGTCACACATATATAATTATAAGTGAGTGTTGAAATTAAATCTGGACTAGATATAAATAAATAAATAAAAAACTTCTAAAATTAGCACTTAAAAAACCAAGAATAAAAGCTAATAAGACCTAGGGCAGAACAGGAAAATCCTTCCAGAATTCTAGATGTGAACTAAAAAAGAAATGTTCTAAGTGTACAGGAAAATGCTGCTAGAATTTTCACATAATACACTTGACAATTTTCTATTGGACAAAAAAA